GCATTTGTGTGCTCAGACTGTCTATGTGCATTTGTTGCTGCAGCTGTTATTATCTTCTGTTTCCCCACTCTTTTTTGCATGCTGAGATGTGCCAGAAATTTGCAGTGTCTGTTTCTGAATGTACTGAGCTGGAGGAAAAGCAGGAGCAAGGAAGATAAGGCAGGAATCCAACCCTCGGTGCTATTTTTTTCTGATAATATCCATCCCATGATCTGCTTTTCCATACATTTCAAGTCTGCCCTCGGGGAGAGGGAAGGGGAGGAGAGAAGTTGCCAACACTACGTATTCTACCGTGGAATTTAGGTCTTCTACCAGAGCCAATGAAGCCTTGTTTCCTTGGCTTTCAAGTTCCATTCATATTTGCTCTCCAGCATGATGTGCAAGGACCTGATAAGTGGGAACAAGCCCCTGCCTAACCTGAGTTTACATCATTGATGCTACTTTCCTAAGTAATCAGTTGGCATGGGCAGAAGAGGGGTGGCAAGCTAATATAGTACGATTTCAATGGTTGAAAGCAAGGACAGTATCTCTTTCCTACTGGCTACTCTCTGATATACTCGTGTTAAGCATTTTGTTGGTCTGTATGCCTCTTCTTCACATAATACGTAGAATTCCAACGAGTTGGAACCTGTTGCTATCTGGGCAATCTCTTTTCTTCTTGCAGTTAGAGTAATGTTTCACTGGCTGTGTTAGGTGTGAGCTGACTTCCTGTGGATTTCTAAAGTGCTGGGTATTCTGCAGGAAGTGACAGATGTCTGCCTTTACTCAGGGTGCCAATGATAGAGTTTCCATCCTTAAATTTCTACAGCATCTGGCAAATTTATCTCATGCAACACATTCAGGACCTGTGCAAAGCAGGGAAAAGGCACCTGTAACAGTCTGTGGCAGTCCCTGCTGTAGGCTATTTGCAGCATGTTGTCTCACCATGCGGTTTAAAATGTTTCCACTTTTCATTAGCTTTGGAGCCAGACATAAACAGTAGAGAGACACCAGACTTGAAGATGACCCAGACCAATGCTTTAATCACAAAACCATCCTTCCCCCCAATACAGCTATTGCTACAAGTCAATAACCTGGGAGCCCCTGGGAGCTGAAAAAAATGGGTCCTGCCCCCTCATCACAAAATAATCATGTGTTTCACTGCCCATTTATGATTTTTTTCTCATGTTGCTGTTCCAAATGACTTTTTAACACAAATGTCCTGACTGTCCAACCTTTACTGATTTCTGTGAAAAAGCATGCAAATCTCTCTGCACAGATGTCCTGGATCAATGCAGCAAACCTTCAGGTCAGTTTCTTTCTATCTTCATGCTACAAAGCACCTTTGGTTCTCAGAGAGATTAACGTTACTTAAAGCCACCGGTTGCAATGGTCTGTTCCTTTCTTCTTTTAAGTAAGATTTAGCTTTATACTGCTGCACTTGCTTTATCACATACGCTGTCCTCCACAGGAGATATTCAGATGCAAAGTTCTTTTCCGTTTCTATTCCTTCTCTCCATCTGGAGAGGTTTAGCTAGTGAACTCTGCAGGCTATGCACAGGACCTATTTGATGCGTTAGTTGACTTGGGTTACTATTAGTAAGAAAACCCTAAACCGTTTGGGGTTTTTTTAGCCCAACCCTGAAAATACCTTCTAGAAATGTCCCAGCACAACAGTTTTCAAGGCAACAAAGCGGAACAGCCTCCTACCAAGGAGAGATTCCCTCATATCAGTCTATACATTGTTTGTGCAGTCAGTGACCCCTAATTATGCCCTGACGTGCCTTTGGTTTAGCATCAGTCAGTTTGCCTGATTTTCAGAGATGCCAAGTTAAACATCACGGTACGATCCTGGGTGTGGCTTTAGGCACATTCAAAGATGCAGCCAAATGCTCAGTGTATCACACGAGCCACGGAGGTGTGCTGGACATCAACTGAGTTAAGCACAACTGATTTAAATCCTTTAACAACCCTAGATGAAGTCAGCCATAGATGCCTACGTTAAAATGTTCTGCTTTCTATCCCATCCCACCCATTTGCTTTCTTAAACTTTTAGAAACTGCTGTTATGTGCCAGAAACAGGTATGCAAGGCACATGTGTCAACTTTTATCTTTCAGCTTCGAGCATCACAGAGGAGTCTCTCTGCCAGGCATCTACTGCTGAGACATCTAAGGAGCTTAAGGGGGTCACTTGCAAACATTTAATTGTCTTTTTAGTGTGTCTAATTGTCTTTGAAAATTTTAGCCACTGAATACACATAAAGATTAATGAGTATGATCACAGAAAACATGCCATGAAATTGGGGTGGATTTCAGGGTCAGTGGGTTTAAAGAAAAAATGCTTAGCAAAGTAGTTCTTAAAAGTGCAACTATGGAATGGAAGAACTAATATAATCCTTCTTTTGGAATAGCAGAGAGACTTGCCAAACAGCTTCTTCTTAGCTCCTTTCTTCCCATTTCTGGAGCATATCCGATTTTCAAATTGAAAAGTGAATGATGCATGCAATACTTTGAGAAACATGCATTTGTATAAGACACGGAGAGAGCAGATTCACGGGTTTACATACTGTGATACACAAACCTCGACTGTGGCACTCAAAAATGTGCTTATTGGAAATCCTCTCTAGCATGTGTGTTTAATCTCTGCCCAGTTTCATGGGGCTCCAGAGAGATCTTAGAGCAGATTTATTTTCTTTAAGTAGATATTTACCACGCTGAGCAAGCAACTGAGAGTGCTTTCAGATATCTTCCTTCCTTACCTGACCCAAAAAAGCATGTAAATGGTGAATTTAAGTAAGTAATGTTTGTATATAATTAAATGGATCTAATATCTTTCTGCTGAATGATTGAATTGTAAGAACAATGAAAGATTAGACTCTGAGCTCTCTGGGGTTGGTTGTTTGTAGGGTGCCTAGCACAATGGGGCTCTGATCCCTCTCTAGAGTCCTTACACTATGGCAAGAGAAGCAATAATAAGGACATCATGGTCTAATGGTCAGCGGACAGGCATAGGCAAGAGGAACATCTGAGTTCTACTCCCAGCTCTGAAGCTGACTTCCACTATCCCCTCGGGCAAGTCATTTTACCTTTCTATACCTCAGTTTCCCCACAGAGCTATTAATACTGATCTCTATCAGAAGGGTGGCATTGGGGTTAGCTGGTACAGGCCTTTGAAGACAATAAGCTTTGTCAAAGTGCTGAGCGTTATTATGCATACACGGTACTGCAGCTCTTTTGGATTTCACAGTCCCCATTTGGATTTGTTATTTGTAGTAGATAGGGCCCTCATCATTACAAAGCTAGGCTTTCCGTTTGTCTTATACCTGCTATCTGTGTCTCTCACGAAAGATAATTCAACAGCAGCATGAAACCCTCACCCAGTTAGGGGCTTAGAGGAGACTAAGAACAGGTAGCATTCCTGCTGCTAGCTGATCGTGGTTTGGGAGGCCCGGCTCTCAGCAGCTAGGACAAAACTTCCAGGAAGACAAGATTAAGCAAAACACTTTCTGTGGGGTCCCTACTTTACTGCAAAGGTTTCTTGTGAAGTCAAAAGAGCGCACGCACACACACTCCAACGACAACTAAATCATCCTCTCAGGTCATTTTTCTTTTATGCGGCTTGAATACTTATCACTCGCCTGCCCCCAAAATTCAGCCCAATGATTAAACCTGTCTGACACTGCCTGTCCTTGCTCCTAAAGACCCATCCTTTTTGTCTTGCCAGCTAGCAGCCAACCCTCTTTTAAAGGTTCTGAGCCTAACGCATCTCAGCTGTGCATGATTCCAGCCCAGCTGGGAGTGCCTGCCTGAGCTGACTCTAAAGAAGATGTTGTCAGGGAATTTTAACTCAAGAAACCCACCCTGCTGTCTGACTTAGAGAGTGAGCTCTTTGGGGCAGTGTTTGTACAGTGCCTAGCATGATGGGGCCCTGATCCATGCCTGGGATTCCCAGGTACTACCACAATACAAATAATACAATCCTAATTCATAGAAGTCACAACCCCCTCAGAAAACAGGGCTTTTTCTTTCGAGGGGCTGCTGCTAATTCCCTCCGATCAAATCTCTCGTGCCAATGCTACATGTTCCCCAGTAAAATCTACTTCACTTCTACTAATAGTGATGATTTATTAATAATAATAATAATAAATAATAATAATGTGCACATCTCCAGTGCCTTTTATCCAAGTTGCTTTACAAACAAAGGGCTTGAGCTGTGAAATACCAGACACCACCAGCTCTCATTGAAACCATAATGGCACTCAGCCCCCGCACAGAAGCCTTATCATACCACACCACTAGAGAGCAGATGAACATCAGATCCGTGTTAGCAGACTGAAGGCAGATATAGAGATGTTACTAGAGCTGGGACCAGAACCCAGGAATCCTGGCCCTTACTACTATCAGTCTATTCAGTAACACCCCACAAAGCCAATCATAGGCTGTTTTTTCCTGCTCCCCATCTTCACTATTTCACTTAAGACCACTGTATGGTTTGTACCATTCCCAATCCAAGAGACAGGATCGTAAAGCCACATACCACCTGATTCCTGAATTATACCCCAGCCACTGGTTCATTCTTGACCTAAAAGGAGAATAACAAACTCCTCACTCCCAAGCAAATCACCCCCTTCTTGGAGGCAGTAGGGTTTAGGGTGAAACTTTGTGTAGCATTGCCATTCTGAGCTTTCAAAAATCATGACTTTTTTTGAAAAATAATAAATGGTGGGTTCTCTTCCTTGCCTTCTTTGGGCCACACTCTGGTCATGTTTCCAAGCTCTTCTCCACAACCACAAAGGGCTACATACTTCCCTTTTTTTTAAAAATGGAAGCCGAGATGCTGACCTGAATCCAGGAGCTAGGTCTTTAAGGAAAACACCAACTCCCAAGACTCATGATAAAAACATGAGAGTTGGCAACACTGGAATTGTCACCTTTCCCCCACCTCCTCCCCTGTACAATCTGACATGGTTGTTCTCCTTATCCCTGTGATTTCAAGCCTGATTCTTCCCCTGGTTGTTTAGGGATCTAGTGATGATGAGCAGCACATCAGCAAATCCACCTCGCTGATCGAAAGCCAACATCACCACCTGCTGCACTGCCTGGAAAAAACAACTGTAAGTAGCAACAGGACCCTTTCTAAATCTGATTAAATGCTTTCCTCCCGGGTCCAGGCTTCCTTTGGAAAGGACGTGGGTGCAGTATGCTCCTCTAAACCAGCGCATGCACTCACAAACACACATCCCCAGTGGGGATAAAAATATGTGTCAGTGAAGTGACGGGTCCTGAATCTCAGAAGTTCCCTGGAATAGGCCACACGGAGAGAGATTCACTTTCTTTTTGTGACTTGCTTAACCAATAAGCATTGGGCAAAATGCTAACAGTGTAAATCTGTGTAAAAGGACAAACAGCTGGATTGCCCTGTGCAGGCATTTACACCAGTGCACAGTCAGTGCAAATCACTAGCTTTCTGACTGGGTAGCATTTCACTGCCTCCTTGCACTCACTTAGCAACTGGTGCAAATGCCAATACAGACTGCAGGGCAAGCAGCCACTGCGGAGCAGAGAAGCAGCCTGTAATGACCAAAGAGACAGACTTGCGGGAGTAGGCTTTAACCATGGTTTCTGAACTAGGGCTAAACTCAGTTTGTCCTTAGCTACACTTGCAGTTAAAGTGCATATATCACAGGTTCCTCTGAACCCATTGCTCACACCCACTACCAATGATGTATAGGATTGCTGGCATGAAGAGGGCTACAGTGGGAAGCTGATGCCAGCAAATTCTAAGCCACACGTATACCCTACCACAAATAGGCCGGAGAAAACAACAACTGGGCCATTTAAAGGGAGAAGATGAGCCTTTTTAATGTGATTTAGTGACACCATGCATGTCTTTCCTGACAAGCCTCAGTTAAAGGAACATGTAGTTCATCTGGAGGCCAGTCAAGTGGATTCTACTATAATGACGTTTCACTCATGCACTGCATGGTGCTGGAGTAAGCCCCTAGGAAGTGCTATTTTTTAATTTTTAAATAGTTCTGTAAGCAGAAGTCCCTGGAAAAATTGCAAACAGTTCTTTATCTCATGTACATTTTATTTCCAGCTTTATATTCACAGGCGATTTGTGGTAAAGGGATATATTATCTATATTGTGTATCATGGCTCATTCTGGAAAGACACCAATGGGTTAAGACCTGATAAGATGTATCCCTTTCCTTATCTGCATCCACCATCAGATATGCCTTTGATTTCTGACCTGCATACATAGTCTCAATTTCACAGTTTGGTTCCTAGCAGGAAAACACCATGTAGGTTTCAAAGAGCATGTTGGAAGAAGACCACTGGTTAAATACCTATAGCAACTAAATCCCGCAGATCCTGAAACTCATCATGATGAATTATGAAGCTAATCATTCCAGTGCTGATGCACTATATCAGTGACTGTTGGTTTCATTTTATAGTATAAGTAGGGTGACCAGACAGCAAATGTGAAAAATCGGGACAGGGGGTGGGGAGTAATAGGAGCCTATATAAGAAAAAGACCCAAAAATCGGGATGAGCCTATAAAATCGGGACATCTGGTCACCCTAAGTATAAATCCGAGCTTGTCTGTCTTTCTGATAACTCTGTATGTTACATTACAAGTAGATAGTTCACAACCTGACTCTTCAATTGTTTAGAATTCTGTACTTACCCTGAAGCTTTAAGTAGTATATTTCAAATATGGCTCATATCATGTGATTGTTACTACACCTCTACCCCGATATAATGCGACCCGATATAACACGGGTTCGCATATAGCGCGGTAACCCCGGGGCTCCGGCAGCAGGCCTCGGGCGGTGCTTTAAAGGGCCTGGGCTCCCCGCAGCAGCCAGAGCCCAGAGCTCTTTAAATCACCGCTGGAGCCCTGCTGCTGCTACCCTGGGGCTCCAGCAGCAGGGCTCTGGCGGCGCTTTAAAAGGCTTGGAGCTCTGGCCGCTGTGGGGAGCCCCGGGCCCTTTAAATCACCGTCGGAGTCCTGCCGCCGCTACCCTAGGGCTGCGGCAGTGGGGCTCAGGTGGCGATTTAAAGGGCCTGGGGCTCCCCGCGGCCCTGGAGCCCTGCCGCCGCTATCCCGATCTAACGGGTTTCACCTATAATGCAGTAGGGATTTTTGTCTCCCGAGGACTGCGTTATATCGGGGTAGAGATGTATTATTTACAAAGTGCCATAAATTTGCCTGGTATTTTACAGAAAATAAAAAGACAAGATTCCTGTCCCAAAGCATCCACCATGTAATGTCTGGATCCTGCAAAGTCTTCCACATATGCTTAACTTTACACACTGTGAGGAGTTCCACTGACTATTAGTGAGTAAAGTTAGGGTTACCATCATTTAATTTAAAAAAAGGAGGACACTCCACAGGGTCCCGGCCCCGCCCCAATTCCGCCCCTTCCCCGCCCCTGCCTCTTCCCCGCCCCCGCCCCAACTCTGCCCCCTCCCCTGAACGCTCCGCCCCCTGCTCCTCCCCCTCCCCTGCTTCCTGCGAATCAAATGTTCACGGGAAGCCTGAAACAAGGAGGCAGCAGGTAATGGGGCTGGGGCGGGGCGCAGCCCAGTCCAGCCGAGCGGCTCCCTCTGGCGGCCGGCCCAGGCCAAGAGGCTCTGGCCCCGGTGTCTCCCGCCCGGCTCGGCTCGGGCCCTGGGGCGCCGGCCCCGGCTGAGCACCCCCGGCTCCGCACCGCCGGCCCCGGCCCGGCCCCCAGCCCCACCACCGCC